TCGACAAATAAAATCACATAACATTGATCGGATGCGCAACGCCGATCAACAACGTCCGCAAATAAAGTTTTTTTGTGAATACACCGCCACCAGAACACCAATATTTATTAAAATACGATATAAAGTCTTTAGTTATCTTAATTTCTATATGATTAAAACGAAAATTTTCATATCTTTATAATTAACTGGATATTTTGATAGTTTCAAGTCCATTGCTATTGTAAAGTAATACACATATATTATTAGATTTTGAAATACACTCCTTTCCTATCTATTATACCTATTTTCTAAAGCAACCATATTCAAAGATAGTTTCACCAGATGCTTGCTTCTACTACTTCATCTTATAGATAAAGACACAAAATACAATTTTCATTAGAACAACTTCTTGCTCTCAAATACATAAGAATATTTGTCCAGATCTCTACAAATCAGAATGGAATCGTTGCAGATACTTAATATACAAAGAAACCTTTTACCATGTTTAGCAGTTTCAGACACTATCTATAAAATTATTTTCGAACTTGTCGAAATGTCAAAACTAACTCAAAAATACTGATCTGTTAATAACAACCCTAGATATGTCACACATACTTGTGAATATATTCCTCATCACTTTCAATTTTTATTCAGGTCAGTCGGAATTTACAACAATTCGAATATCACCATAGTTTTGCTAGAATTGATTCATTCGTCTCCTTATTCATTTGCGTGCATAAAGAATATGGGCGAAGTATAAAGAAAAGTTGCCATTGCCATTAAAATTATTCTGCGCAAAAATTTTAGGAACCCTAAAATATATTTTGAAAATGGAACGGATGTTTCTAACCTTTAAATCAAGGTACAAATAGTAAAGGTTTGGTTTATGGTGCTCGTAAAACTTTTAGTGCGACGTTTGGAACCAGAAGAGTTTTCGTGTGTCATATCAAATATCGTAATGAATATTTAGTCTTTATGTGGTCTGATCCTTTAACTTATTCTTTTACGAATATTAAAGAAAGAATTCTAATCCTAAAGCTATCACCATTTGTGTTATGGTCTAGATTAGTCAATAATGAAGCAATAGGATATTAATGTTTAGTTAAAAAAAAAAAAAAAAAAAAAAAAAAAAAAAATGCAAATCACTCCACTCGGTGCAAGCCAATTAAATTGCACAATTTCTATTTTGGTAAGTGACGCTGTAATTTTGTTACACAAAATTACTCCTTATAAGCCGATAAAATTTTCAAAATCAAAATTTTTAGAACGAATGATGAATTATAGTAACCAAGAAGAATTATATGGCTTATGCTCCCTTTGTGAAAAACCGAAAAGTTATTTTGACTGGTGTCCTAAATGTGACTGTCAGAAATTGATTGATGAATTTTCGAATTGGACTAGTGGAAATAAATACATAGATGAATTTCTCCAAGATAATCAAAGAACTGCCATTTCCTATACTTCATATTTAGAATGGATTCCTTATGACAGGTTTGAGAAAATCGAATTTGTTGCAGATGGTGCAATTGGCAAAATATTTATTGCGAATTGGAAGGATGGTGAAAGAATGGATGATTTTTGGTACGATGAAACCATTAATACCCAAAGAAAACGTAGTATTCCTGTTCCAGTTGCAATCAAACACAATTCGCAAATTGCTTCCAAAGAATTTATCAATGAGGTAAATGTATGAAATCTACTAGTGAATTTAGGATATAAAGTGACTATTATTGATAAGTTTTTATGTAATAGCTAAAAGTTCATCATCAATTTATAACAAGCGGTATAAAGTTTCTTCGATTGTATGGTGTTTCTCGGAATCCGATTACAAAAAATTATTGTGCTATAAGTCAACATGTAGGAGATGGAAATTTACGAAATTATTTGAAAAGGGAGAATTATAAAATTTCATGGCAGGAAAAAATAAATATCTTAAATTATATAATTAATGAACTTGCTTTAATTCATAAATTAGGAATGTCACATAATAATTTACACTATGGACATGTATTGATAAGTGGAAATGTGGCATATCTTAATTACTTTGCTAATTGTGAAAGTATTAGTACCAATTTGAAATTATCGGATAAAAATATATACGGCGTTTCATCGTACATAGCTCCTGAGGTTTTAAGAGAAAAATCTCATACTCAAGCCTCAGATATTTATAGTTTAGGTATGTTAATGTTCGAACTTGGAACAGGATTACCTCCTTACGATGGTTCTGTAGATGAAATCTCTTTAGTTCTAAACATTTGTCAAGGATTACGACCTACCATTACTCAAAAAATCCCACCGGCTTATTCTAAAGTAATGAAATGTTGCTGGGATGATAATCCATTAAAACGTCCTGATATTAAAAAATTATTAGCTATTTTTCAAAAATGGAGTCAAAATCCTAATCACTATATTTTAGAGCAATTTGAAAATTCGGAACATGATAATACTGAGAATATTATTAATTCTTCTGAAAATGTAAAGGTTGAAGATATTTCTGGTCTATCAAATCCAATTTCAAGTAATCAGCTTTTATGTTTGAATGATATTTTAAATGCTTATGATGGCGAATAAATTGTTACAATCAATAATAAAAAATATTTTAAATGACAATTAAATTGTCTTTAAAAATAATTTGTTATTTATAACCGAATTAATTAAAGAAAGTTTATTTAATAATGTTTATTACGAAATCAAATAATCAAATATTATATTATTAACCAAATCCCAAAAAGCATTTTTTTTAGAGAAAATAAAATTTATAGACGGCAATCAGTACTATTTCTTATACGAAAAGTATTATTTTCCATAGGCCTCATGATAAATTTAAGTTTATTCCTCAAGGTGTTTAATATTTCATCCTGATTAGTGTCCATAATAAATATCCATAACTCCTGAGCTTTAATCCTTTCTTTTAAAAACTTATTGATTTTTTCATTCTTACCATAATTTCTATTAAAACATTAATATCCTTTTGCTTGCTCTCAAATCTTTTAAATTGTATTTTTTAAAAAAAAAAGAATTATCAAAGTTAAATTTGAATTATTCAATTCCTTACAACATTTATCACTTCATAAAAGAAATTTAGCGATTAATTTTCCTCATCAGCTTTTTTGTATTTCTTTAATTTATTATTTGTCATGTCTAAGATTTTCAAGATTTTTTTTTCTTTGTCATTTGTCTAAAGACTTTTTGCGATTAATTCTTGCTATTTAATTTCGTTATTAGAAATTCTTCAGAAATTAATTTAATTCTGGCCTCAGAAAACTTGTTTCTTTTAGAGTGAACACTCGGAAATATCTTTCTTCGTATGGATTCATTACTCATTGATCTTTTATGACCAAGAAAATAACTGCGAAGACGAACCATGTTACCAAATTTAATGCTCTTGGCGGTTATGGCTCTTGAAGGCCTGGAAACTATAAAGCGTCATCCTGATAAAAGTCTGGGATTAGACCCCGGATTACCTATATTTATCAATCTAGGTTAAAAATACATTATTCGTAATTTCCCTCAATTACTCATTTTGTAGAATTAATTATCTATGGATTCATTCCTTAAATTTCACGAAGGTTATACTTTATTACACATTATATAAAAACAATTTTAACATATTCGTAAAATGTGTAAAATCATGAAATCTTTATATTTAATAAATATTTTTTGTTCCACCTGGGTGATTTTACCTTTTTTTTTACCTAGTAGCCATTCGATATCATCTCTGTAACCTTTTTTTTTTAATTTGATCCAAAGGGCACATACAATTTAGCAAAATAGTTAAAAAAAAAAAAAAAAAAAAAAAAAAAAAAAAAAAAAAAAAAAAAAAAAAATGAAGTATTTTTTTAATTAAACAATAATAAAAAGGGAAAATTAATTTTGGTTTATATTTAAGAAAAAAAAAAAAA